TTTTCTTTCTTTCTTTTTTTTTTTTTTTTTTGGGTAAGTAAGCTCTGTACCTGGTGGTGGGCTTGAACTTGAGACCCCGAGATCAAGAGTTGTGCACACTACCAACTAAGCCAGGCGCCCCTTCTATTTTTAACTTTCTGAGAAACATCCATACTGTTTTCCACAGTGGCTGCAGCAGTTTGCATCCCCACCAACAGTGTACACGGGTTCCCCTTTCCCCACATCCTTGCCAACATCTGTTTGTGTTGTTGAGTTTAGCTGTTGTGACAGGTGTGAGCTGATAGTTCACTGTGGTTTTGATTTGCCATTGTTTTCAGTGTTAAACCATATTTTCCTCCTTTCTGTCCCAGCAGCTTCCCCTCACAAGGCCCTAAGTGAGCTGGCCAATGCTTACCTCGAAGTTTGAGTCACACGGGCTTCATTCTGAAGTAGGAACAAGACAGAGTTTCAACTGCAGGGCCTTTACACTGGCTGTTGCCCCTATTTTGGGAGGGCTCCTTTTCCTTGTCTTCCTTTGTCCTCCCCTCCTCCTCCAGCCCTCTGTTCAAATAACTACTCCCTCTTGATTCATTTTCTATATGGAGCTTATTCTAGGAGGGTGGACTGTGCATGTAGTGTATGTGGGAAGGCAACTTGTTTTTATGTCTTGTAGGTTTATTTTATTTTTTTCTTTTTTTAAAGCTTTTTATTTATTTGAGAGAGAACAGAGTGAGTGAGAACACAAGGGGAGGGGAGAGGCAGAGGGAGAAACAGGCTCCCTGCTGAGCAGGGAGCCTTATGCAAGGCTCGATCCCAGGACCCTGGGATCATGACCTGAGCCGAAGACAGACGCTTAATTGAGCCATCCAGGCGCCCTATATCTTGTAGGCTTATATTTGCTTACCTCATTTAATATTTTTCCCTAGGACCAGCCATTTTTTTTTAAAGCTTTTCTTTATTAGTTTAAAATGCACGTGCCTGAGAGTGGGGTTGGGGGGCGGGCAGAGGGAGAAGGAGAGAGAATCTCAAGCAGACTCCTTGCTGAATGTGGAGCCTGATGGGGGGATCAGTCCATGACCCTGAGATCATGACCTGAGCCCAAATCAAGAGTTGGATGCTTAACCAACTGAGCCACCCAGGCACCCCATGGGACTGGCCACTTTTGATTTTATCCGTTACTTTTTTTTTTTTTTTTAAGATTTTATTTATCTATTGAAGAGAGAGCGCACAAGCAGGCAGGCGGAGCAGCAGGCAGAGAGAGAGGGAGAAGCAGGCTCTCCACCGAGCAGAGAGCCCCATGTGGGGCTCCATCCTGGGATCCTGGGATCACCACCAGAGCTGAAGGCTGACACTCAACCGAGTGAGCCACCCAGGCGCCACTTATCTGTTAGTTTTGAATTTTTCATAACTTCAGTTTCCAAAGATGGCTTCAGAGTCTCAAAACACGGTACTGGCCATTTTAATTCCTCCACTTTGGCAATGAAGCTAAGGTTAAAACGGTAACTGACCAGTCACTGAGTAGCAGAACTGGATTTGAATCAATTTGCAGTGCTGCTAAAGCAGGTCCATGGTGCTCAGTAAGCAGTTTAGTAGGGGATTAGTTATATGTTAACCTCAATCTCAGATTTACTGATTTTTATATTTATAGAGTGCTATTCAAAGGAATCTTTTTTTAAAGATTTTATTTATTTATTTGACACAGAGAGACAGCTAGAGAGGGAACACAAGCAGAGGGAGTGGGAGAGGGAGAAGCAGGCTTCTGGCCGAGCAGGGAGCCCGATGCGGGGCTCGATCCCAGGACCCTGGGATCATGACCTGAGCCGAAGGCAGACGCTTAACGACTGAGCCACCCAGGCGCCCGCAAAGGAATCTTTCTTTGAAGATTTTATTTATCTGAGAGAGCGTAAGGGAGGGCACAAGTGGTGGGAGCACAAGTTGGGAGGGGCAGTGGAAGAGGGAGCAGCAGACTTCCCTCTTTGTAGGGAGCCCGATGTGGGGCTTGATTTCAGGACCCCGGGATCATGACCTGAGCCGAAGGTAGACGCTTAACCGACTGAGCCACCCAGGTGCCCCTAAAGGAATCTTTTTAAAGCAAATTTTATATCCATTTTCTCATTTTCTTTTTAAAATAGTGCAGCAGCTCCTGGGTGGCTCAGCGCCTGGGATCGAGCCCCATGTTGGGCTCTGTCTGCTCAGCAGGGAGCCTGCTTCTCTCTCTCCGTCTGCGTGCCACTGCCTGCTTGTGTGCTCTCTTTCTCTGTCAAATGGATGAATAAAATCTTAATAAATAAATAAATAATAAATAAAATAGTCCAGGGAGGCAAAAGATAAAATTACTTACATTTTTTAGATGAAGGGGATAGAGAGGTAGGGACTGACTGAAACTGTGATCTCAAGGACCATTTGTGGTACCTTTTTGTTAAACCACTGTCTAGTTGGTCATGATCCCAGGACCCTGGGATTGAGTCCCACATCAGGCTTCCTGCTCAGTGGGGAGTCTGCTTCTCC